AATTATGAATTTCAATTACTATTGTATTTCATGATAAGTGAAATATAAATTTATATATGTGTTTGAGTTAATAATTACAAGAGGGGAAAATTTTGTAGATATTAAGTTGCTTATATTTTAAATTAAAATTAATTGGAGAAAAGTTCTTATATTTTCGATCAGGAGGAGTACTATTTAATACTCCATTTGGTTCTTTTTATAAGTCAACATGTTTTATTATAGTCAAATGCAATCTTAAATTTTACTAATTTTATCTAAAAATTTAATAAATTTTTACTTCTATCCCCTAATAAAAATAAAAAATATTTTTAATAATTTTTAATATTTAATAAAGATAAAAATAAATATAAAAAATTGTAAAATACCCTATGAAATAAAAATTAATGCTTTCTTCCTATAATGTAAATAAGAAAATAAGAGTATTTCATAGGTTTGGTTTTGTCATCATCCCCTGTGATACTATCACCTAACATTATATTTTGTGATTTGTCATGTTTAACTAAACAGTAGAGTAGGACTTTAAACTTTTTAAGTTCATTGATGACGACTTAGTGATGCAGACGAGGAAGCTGATGAGCACATATCTTCGTCACGGCTCACTGATGTTCGAAAACTACTTCAAGAATTGGATCCCACAGTTTTGAAGATTGGCTTGGGTTGCATTTCAGAAATATCCAAAACAGATTATCTCTTGCTCAGCACTATTCAGGAGCTAGAATCTGAGCAAATAAATTATATAAAATCTAAATTCTCATTTCATCTCTATCCTGTAGGCCCTGCCATACCGTTTCTGGACCTTGAACCTTCGAGTGATTCTTCAACGACCGACTCTGACCATATAATAAAGTGGCTGGATTTTCAGCCGAATATGTCAGTCTTGTACATATCTGTGGGCAGCTTCCTCTCAATGTCTCGTCCCCAGATGGAAGAACTTGCTTCAGCCTTGAAAGGCAGTGGGATTCGTTTTCTGTGGGCGTGTCGTTCAGAGGCCGAGTGGCTGAGAGAGAAATGTGGGGATAAGGGACTGGTGGTGCCGTGGTGTGACCAGTTGAAAGTGTTGTGCCATGGTTCTATAGTGGGGTTTTGGAGCCATGGTGGATGGAATTCAACTGTGGAAGCTTGCTTTGCTGCCGTGCCAATCTTGGGATTTCCAATATTTCTGGATCAGTTCTCGAATTGCCGGCATATTGCAGAAGAGTGGAAGAATGGATGGAAGGTGGGTGGTGAGAGATCAGAGAGCTTTGTAACAAAAGAAGAAATAGTGCAAGTGCTTGAGATGGTGATGGATCTTGAGAGCAAAGAAGGGAAAAAGATAAGAGACAAGGCAAAAGAACTCAAGCCTTGTTTCGGGGAGCGATTGCCAAAGGTGGTTCCTTTAACATGAACCTTGATGCTTTTGTCCAAGACATTTTAGATGTTCATGGCGATTTGAGTCCTGTGGAAAAGCCTTAGACCTTTTTTGCATATATACAATGTGTATGGTAAATTGATAACTGGTGTAATAAAGCCGTATTGGTAATAAAAATTTGTATTTCTGGTCGCATTAGTAATAATATGAAGAGAGATGTTTTAGTGTTGAAAATAAGGAAATCATTTAATGTTTTAAAAAATATGGAAACTCACAACAATGTCTATTGATATTGTTAAATATTTATTGCTGCCAGTGTCCAAAGTAAAATGTTTAGACCCACAATGGATTCATAATTGATAGTAGAGCCGATAGTTTAAGTTAAGTCTAACAAATTAATCCAAATTCACTAGAAAAAATTTAAAGTCAGGCTTAAAAAAACATATTTTTTATATTCGAATAGGCTCAAAAAAATTGGGCGATCAAGTTCGGGTTTGATTTAAATACTCAAATAAACAATTTTATTTTTAAAAAATATATAATATATAATAAATATTAATTAATTATTTAAATTTTATGCCATTTTATTTATAAATAAAAAATTAATTTTAAAGTAAAAAATTCATTAAAATTAATTTAAAAATAAAATTCAGATATTCGAGCTACCCAAAGCTCGAAAAAATTCTAGTCGAGCTTGACTATTCAAGTTTTTTTAGAGAATCAAATTTATTCAAATTCAAGTTTATTTGAGTCAAATGTATTTAAATTGAGCCTGAATAAATCTTGTCCATTCAAATTTTTGACTCTACTTGACGGTTCCCATATCAGTTTGCAAAGCACCCTGTCACGGGGCCATTACTTTCTCCCCAAAAAGCTAACCTGTTAGGGCGTGCAGCGCACCTACTTATATAATCAAGACCCTCCTCAAGTCCCTCCACATCCTGACAACTCTCCCGGCCAATCCGTGATGCCTCTGTCACTGGTGGCCCACCAGAGGAGCCCACCGACTGGGCAAACTCGGGTCTGACTCTAATATTACTTTGTCACAGGATTATTACTCTTTATCTAAAAAGCTAATATATTAGTACATACAGTATATTTATTTATATAGCTAAGATTCTCTTTAAGTCCCTTTACTTCCCGACAACCCGCTTGAGAGCATGCATGTAAAGAAGGCGTTGCAACTTGCAATCCCATGGCTCAGGCGAAAAGAAACTCCTCTAGTCCATCCACGTGTGTGTGTTAAAAAAAAAAGGGTATGGTAAAATGGTGAATATTTTAAGATGAAACCTAAAGAAAAGAAGTTGATGTTTTTAACACACTTGTTGAAAGGAATTTGAGAGAAGCACCTAGCGAGTAACTATTGCCGAGCTGCCACATCTTTGAGGCCCCACTATCATCGCAGTCCATCACTTATTCGATCATTTGAAGTCTTGAACTCTGGTTACTCTCTGTTTTTTGCATTTAGTTCCTTTGTATTTTTCTGCTTCAGTTTTATGACTGAATTTCAGATTGGACCCACGAAAAAGACTTCAACTCTTACCTACTACTATTACTATTGGGCCATTTCAAAGTATCCAAGCGAACTTATGACTAGGTGCTGATAGCTTAGTGGGTTTTTTATTAATGAGAGGAAAGCTTAGCGTTTTACCCTCACAAATTCACAATGTCTTTGACGCCGTGGTATCGTATGTAACCTTTTATTTTTGGGAAAATCCGTCTAACTCTACCCATGCAGATCAACACTTAGGAAAAATGGGACTGATTCCTTTGTGCAAACCATCACGATATTTTGTAGTGTTTGATTTGATGTGAGTTTGCACCATATATTCTCCCCCCCCCGGGGTAATTTTTAATTTATTCTGTAAAATTTTTACAATAATAAATTCAGTGATCATATTTTTTATATTGTAAAATTAGTGTTACATTTTTTGGGCCATAAATTATTGTTACATTTAAAGATGGACAAGTCCATTTTACAAATCTTACCCCCCCCCCCAAAAAAAGACCTAATATGTATTGCATAAAAAATCTCTCTGGAATATGAAAATCTCAAATTAATACCTTGAAATCCAAGGGACTTTTTGGGATTAAATTTTACCACGAAATCACCTTTCTATCCGTTTGCATAGTTCAAAAAAGGAAAAGAAAAGGGAACCCCTAAGGCAGCCAAGGGAACTCAGTAAGAGCGTCAAGTTTCAGTCGAAGTCAATGAATCTGGAGGAGGAAGGCAAAAAGAGTCTTCGATTTCTTCGAGACTAATTGCTTGCTTGGAAGTCTACCGCCTCAACAAAATCATTAGTCCCTCTTATCCTTCTTGTCGTCTTCCTCCTCCTCCATGCCGCCGCCGCCGCCGCTGCCGCGAGCAGCCTGCCTCCGCCATTTGGTATTGAAACATCTCCGAGGTCTGGATTCGCATGAATCAATATCAGGATTATTCATGTGCGGAAAAAAATCGTGTTCATTTGTCTCTTAGGTTTTTAATTAATTTCGACTTAATTGGGCAAGTTAAAGTACTTGAATTTTCAAGAATGTGTAAGCCACCGTGGCAACTGCTTCTTCCATTTCCACCTGAACTAGCGAAAAAAAGATTTTAAATTACTCCTTCAATTTTATTTATAAATCATTTTTATTAATTTTATCAATATTAATATAATAAAAATATAGGAAATAAAAACAAATAAAATTTTAAATATAACTCTCAAATAAAAAACAAAAAATAAATAAATAATATAATATTATTTCTTTTTTTTTCTTTCTTACTTTTTAAAAGTAGTTTAAGAATTTTAATTTAAAATAAAATAATTTCATCAACTAATAATTTATAAAATAAATTAAATTATATTTTTAAAAGGTAATTAATATACAAGACCAGAGGATCCCCGATAGTGGAATTGATTCTTCTTGTCTTATTGGGGTGATTATAGTGTAATATTGCCATCTGGAATGTCAAGGAGATCAGAAAAATAGTAAATGACGGAGCTATATATCTTCACGATCTTCCATGATGGTGGGGATTGATCTGCAGCTGGTCCTGGATGGAAGATTCGCCAGCCTCCTCCAGATTCATGACTTCGACGAGTTTCCCATGGTTGTGTGTGTTGGGGTTTCTATTTTTAACCCAAAGAAAAAAAGTGCCGAAGGATAGAAAGGTATTTTCATAATAAAATCTCAAAAAGTTTCTTGATACCTTGAAAATAAGGAGATTTTTTATATCATCTTTCCATGATATTTTTATTTAAAATTTAAAATTATTTTTCTTTCTGAGTTATACACAAAAAATCACCAATAACTTTAAACTTAATTATAAATTACTTTTATTATTCAATTTTACAAAATTAAATTGTTCATCATCTTGCTTTTTTTTACCACATTATATTTTTAATATTTTTTATTATAAAATATTTAAATTGAGTGGTAAAAATAATTTTTTAAATAAAAATTATGAGATAAAAATAATCGTTAGTATGATAAAAAATATTTAAAAATAATGCGACTGACTTATAATTAACTTGTTTTTAACGTTAAGATAATAATAAAAAAATATTTAAAATTAAATTGCAAAATTGAGCCATAAATTATAGTTGAGGTTAGGCTTATCTCTGACATTTTACCCTACTTTTTATGTCACGGGGTTCGTATGCTTGGATTTATTTTATCCAGAAATGCTGCTTCATTAAGACTTGTCCAATCACCGACGACATTGTGGAAAAGGAAAGGCCATATCCTTGGTTCTCCCTCACCTGAGATTTAGGACAGCAGATTAAGTAAACCCAAGCTTCATTTTTAGCCGTGATTATGTCCATGGAAGTTCCGCCGTCTTTCAAGAGGCATGTGGTGGCCTTGCCTTTCCCTACCAGAGGCCATGTCAACCCCTTGATGAACCTCTGCAAATTTCTCGCTTCCAGGCAACCCTGGGACCTTCTCATCACCTTCGTCGTCACCCAGGAGTGGCTTGGGTTCATCCAATCTTACCCCAAGCCCCATACCATTCGCTTCGCCACCATCCCCAACGTCATTCCCTTGGACTCCCAGATCCTCGACGACGTTCCTGCTTTCTCCGAAGCCGTCGCCACCAACATGAGACATCCGTTCGAGCAGCTTCTCGATCAACTTGAGACGCCGGTGACTGCTATCATCTCTGATGCTGAGTTGGCGTGGCCAGCTGCTGTGGGAAACCGAAGGAATATTCCGGCAGCTCTGTTATGGACGATGTCAGCGTCGTTCTTCGAAACCTTCCGTCAGCTGGATATCTTGGCCCCTGGCCCCGACCGGCGTTTGTCGGTTCATCTCTTGGGTAATGTTTATGTATCATGCACCCCACTTGTTTCCTTAATTTAAGACTTTTGTTATTTTTAAAAACCAAAATCGTCGCCGCCGTCATCAGTTATCCTATTCTGTGACGTTTAATTGTTTGCCTGAATAGCATGGTTTAGGAATCTTCTGCTATTGACTTCATCGATAACGAGTTAGTGATACAGATGGGCAAGCTGAACACATCCCGCGACTCTCTTCCTCACAACTCACTGATCTACGGAGGCTGCTTCTTGAAAGCGATCTCAGTTTTTTGAAGATTGCCCTGAATTGCATTCCAAGATTAGCCAAGACTCGTTATCTCCTCCTCAACACGATCCAAGAGCTAGAACCTGAACAGATAAACTTTCTAAAAGCTAAACTTCCCTTTCGTCTATATCCAATAGGCCCAGCCATACCTTTTATGGAACTCGAACCACCGAGCGATTCATCAACCACTAACTTTGACCATATAATAAACTGGCTAGATTCTCAGCCAAAATTGTCAGTATTATACATCTCTGTGGGTAGTTCGTTTTCCATGTCCCGTCCTCAAATGGAAGAACTTGCTTCAGCTTTGGAAATAAGCGGAATTCGTTTTGTTTGGGTAGGTCGTTCAGATACTGAGTGGCTAAGAGAGAAATGTGGGGATAAGGGTCTGGTGGTGCCATGGTGCGACCAATTAAAGGTGTTGTGCCACAGTTCTGTTGCGGGGTTTTGGAGCCATGGTGGATGGAATTCGACTCTGGAAGCATGCTTTGCTGGTGTGCCAATCCTGGGATTTCCAATATTTCTGGATCAGTTCTCGAATTGCAGGCATATTGGGGAAGTGTGGAAGAATGGATGGAAGGTGGGTGGTGAGAAATCAGAAGACTTTGTAACGAAAGAAGAAATATTGAAAGTGCTTAAGATGGTGATGGACCTTGAGAGTAAAGAAGGGAAGAAGATAAGAGACAAGGCCAGAGAACTGAAAGCCTTGTTTCGCCGAGAGATTGCCAAAGGTGGTTCCTCTGACTTGAACCTCGATGCTTTTGTGGAAGACATTTTAGGCGTCCAAGGAAATATGTGCAATTAGGAGTTCAAGATGTATGCCATGCTACTAGCCCACTACTTCAAGCGTGTGTGTGTGTGTGTGGCATCCTCAATTATGTATTATATCTGGGAATACGCAGTCTAGAACCCGCGACATCATGGAATGTTCAAGACGAACATACCCGGAAAGCCGAGACTGGTATCGTATCCTCAATTAATCATTGATAAAACACATGGTTCGTACAAAGATTTTGTATCTCGGTCTTAGTGGTTCTTATGCAATTGGATTTTTAGTTGGTATTCATGTACGTTAATAATATGAACAGCTAGATATAAAATTTTTGAAAGAAAATGTTTCTATATATAAACGAAGCTTAGAAGCTACATGATGACAAGCTCTTTAAGTTTATTTTATGAGTTTATTATATTTATATTTTTTAACTGATAAATTCATTTTAATTTGTTCATAAACTTAATTAAATAAAACTCAGTTAAATTAGTGAATTGATTTTTTGAGTTTATTGTTTTATATTTATAACTTATAAAATTATGTCACTTTTCTTATAAATTCATTAAGCAATATAGATATATATTGTGTAAAATTTGATTCGTATAAGTAGTAAGATTTGATTTAATGAAAAATAAAACTCAAAAAAAATAAAAAACTAATATTAATAAAAAAATAAAACAAAAATATCAAAAATAAAATGTTTTTTTTAAAATTGCTATGTTGAGTATAATAATATATTAATATATGTAAATTTAATTTTAATAATTTATATTTGAAATGTATTTAAATTAAATTATAGTCATATCTTATATTTTTATTTTAATTATTTAATTATGTACTTTTAAGATTATTTATTAATATAAATAAATTTTATGAGTTTACAGTTAAAGTTTATGTTTTAAATTTATATTCTTATCATAAGTTTACTGAAATTTGTGAGTTTAATAACCTTAATTTTATGAACACAAACTCATTTCTTATTCTTATATTATTACTATTATTTATATGTCTATTCATTTATAGGCTGTAATTGTATTGTTTGATTTAATGTGAGCTTGTTCAATATTCTTCTGCGTTTTATTTTCAAATATTTTTTTTGTCAATTCTATATATATTTTTCGAAAATAGACTTAGTTATGAAATATTTATTCCATATTGTGAGGTTAAACCTTTTTTTTTATGTGGTAGACGAAACTGTGAATGGTTGGGAACTTGGGATTAATCGAATCGGAAGGGTCGCGGCTCAGATGTTTTTCTTTTGGGCCAACTTGACGAGGAAATTAGTTATAGTGTTTATCATACGAATGAGAATTAAAAACTCATCACTTTTAAATTATTTAAATTTAATTTAAATTATTTAAATTTACAGCTTTTTAACTAGTGTTTTTTAAATGAATTTTTTTTTGAAACGCTGGCAATTAAGATATTGTCTTTATTTTATATTCTGAATTTATTAAAATAATTTTTAATCGAAGTAAAAAGCAGTAAATATGAACTATTGAATTAGATCTAAACAGCGATGGGTTTCTAGTACTCGTATGTGTGATAAACACTAAAACTGATTCTCTTGACGACGCTGGTTTATTTTGCCTATAAATGGGTGATGTGGTCATATCTTGGGGCGTCGGTCAAAAGGGAAGGTAAGATAAGATTATTATTATTTTTGTTTTGATACGAAAGGTTGAACCAGCCCAAGTTACCAACTGAAATTAAAAGGAAAGGGAATTGAAACCCAGAGTATCTTGCTGCATCAGGGCACTTAAGAAGGAAGGTGCCGTGTCAAGAATGAAAAAAAGGAAACCTATTATATTTGCCTCTGGCCCTGGCCCTGGCCCTCGACTTCATGCACATTTCTTATATGAAAAAAAAAATTAATTTTTTACTCTTTTAACTTTTAACTCACTTGTGACTCAGTCTCTCAACTATAATTCACTACTCAGTCCCTCAACTTTTGATTCATCTATAATTTGGTTCTTATTTTTTAATTTTTTAAAAAATTCTTATCAAATAAGAGGGATAAAAAAATGCTCATATATTATTCTAAAATACCCTCCTCTTGCTCATTGATGTGAGATATAAGCTAACATGAAAAAAATTAACAAAAATTCAAAGATTAATTTGTAAGTAATTTAAAGGTTGAGGGACTGAATCATAGACGAGTCACAGCGAGTCATGGTTAAAAGATTGAGTTACAAGTAAATTAAAAATTGAAGGATTAAAAGATCAATTTAAAAAAAAAAATGAATCGTTGATAATACACGTGGTTGTAATAATTTTTGTGATTAATAAAATTGGTTTTTTTTTCAGATGAACAAAAAGATAATACACTTCATTTATTTGTTTGTATTCCGGTCTTTTACTTGTTAAGTTCTTAATTCATATTTAATGCCCAGTGGTGTTTTAAATAGAATTATTTTCAATAAAAAGTACTTATATACAATTTTTTTAAAAAAAGAACTAGACTCAGGAAAATTCTCAAATTATCATTGAATTAAATGTATGCAAATTAATAATGAAAAACTATAAACAAAAAATTTCATTAAAAGTGTCATCCATATATGAATATGGATATAATGAAAAGCAGTAAGAGTCAGCACATCTTAATTTTTAATTACATGTTAAAATCTTAAAATTATGATTTTTTTTAAATATTCAAACTTATTACAGAGGACAAAATTAACTGTAAATCCAAAACTATTATTTTAACATGCAACGTGGATTTTTGGACATATTATCACAAAATTATGATTTTTTTTGCGTAATTTTCAATTATGTTATTCAATTTTATTTTTTAATTATACTTTTTAATTTTGATTAAAATCAATCTCATTAATCAATTTTATAAAACAATTATGGACCTATTTGTTTTAGTTTATTCCATGAAAAAATAACATATTTTTCAAAAAATATATTTTGTAATTTTTTTATTATGTTTGTTTAAATTTTAAAAATAATTAAAATAAAAAAACAGATTTTTGATTATTTCAAAAGCTGCTCGAAGTAGCTTCTAAAAATAATTTAATATAATAAATGAGAGAGTGTGTTTTTAAATAGAAGGGATAAATAAAACATATCATCAAATTTTAAAATAATATAATAATAAATTATTTTTATAAAATAAAAATTAAGGAAGATGTATAAAATTTTAAAATAACTAACTAATAATTATTTTTTATTATTATAACTAAACATAAAATAATGTCTATTTTTTATAAAATATTTATAAAATAATCTCTTTTTATAATCTATAAATTACCTAAAAATAATTTATTTTAAATCTTAAACAAATGACCTCCAGATACCACATACTATAATCAATTATATTTAGAATCAGGCATATTAATTGTTTTTTTATAATAAAAAATTTTTTACGGACATCCAAACGGGTCCAAATATGTTGGCAAAATAATTATAACAATAATAATACTGAAGTCAACCACCTCAAAAATATCCAGTTTCCACGTCAATTTGTAAAGCGCCCCTGTGAAATTATGCCTCAAACGTTTTTGAAGATCGTTACGACCTACAATAATAAATTTTGTTAAAATTGAAGATAGAGTAATCCAATTTACAAATCTTACAAAACAAAATATTGACCAGAATTAAAGAATTATCTATTACATTATCTCATTAAAAAAAATAAAGATGTGGTCACGATGAGCTAGCGACGGCTCACGGCCTAAGATATATTTTTTTTCTAGGGGGTCCAACTGACAACTCGGATTAAATTTTGACGTGGTTATATCTGGAGCGTCGATATTCTTGGTCAACCCCTGTGAATACATATCACCTAGGATCTAGAATTTCAAATAATTTAAATATACCCAAGCTTCATTAGTTGCAGTGAACATGTCCATGGAAGTTGCAGACTGCGTTAAGGGGCATGTGGTGGCCCTGCCATTCCCCACCAGAAGCCTTGTCAACCCCATGATCAACCTCTGCAAATTTCTCGCTTCAAGAACACCCGACGACCTTATCATCACCTTCGTCGTCACCCAAGAGTGGCTCGGCTTCATCCGTTCTTACGCCAAGCCCCATACTATTCGCGTCGCCACTATCCCCGACGTCATGCCTCCTGACGGCCAGACGGCCCACGATGTTCCTGGTTTTGTCGAAGCCATTGCAACAGTGATGAGACCTACGTTCGAGCAGCTTCTCAATCAACTTGAGCCGCCGGTTACCGCTATCGTTGCTGATGCTAATTTGGTGTGGCCAGCCGCTGTGGCAAACCTTAGGAATATTCCGGTGGCTCTGTTATGGACGATGTCAGCTTCGTCCTTCGAAACCTACCGTCAGCTGGATATCTTAGCCCCTGGCCCAGATAGGCGTTTGTCGGTTCATCTTTTGGGTAATGCATCCTACACCATACTTGTTTTTGTTAAGTTAATGTATTTTTTTTTAATGCGTTATTGTCATTATCAATTATAACATCCTGTGACGTTTAATAGTTTAGCCAAACAATAGTTCAGGAATTTTTCGCTTTTGACTTCATCCATAACGAGTTAGTGATACAGACGAGCAAGCTGATGAGCAAATCCAGCGGATCTCTTCCTTACAGCTCACTGATCTACGAAAGCTACTCTACGAAAGCGATCTCCGTTTTTTGAAGATGTCCCTGGATTGCATCCCTGGATTAGCCAAAACCGATTGCCTCCTCCTCAATTCGATCCAAGAGTTAGAAGCTGAACACATAGATTATCTAAAGGCTATATTCCCCTTTCGTCTCTATGCGATAGGCCCTGCTATACCTTTTATGGAACTTGAACCGCCAAGAGATTCATCAACCGCCAACTCTGACCACATTATAAAGTGGTTGGACTCTCAGCCAGAAGCGTCAGTATTGTACGTCTCTATGGGTAGTTTCCTTTCAATGTCTCGTCCCCAGATGGAAGAGCTGGCATCAGCTTTGAAAAGCAGTGGCATTCGTTTTCTGTGGGTGGGTCGTTCAGATGTTAAGTGGCTGAGAGAGAAATGTGGGGATAAGGGACTGGTGGTGCCATGGTGTGACCAGTTGAAGGTGTTGTGCCATGTTTCTATTGCGGGTTTTTGGAGCCATTGTGGATGGAATTCAACTCTGGAAGCTTGCTTTGCTGGCGTGCCAATCTTGGGATTTCCAATATTTCTGGATCAGTTTTCGAATTGCAGGCATGTTGCAGAAGAGTGGAAGAATGGGTGGAAGGTGGGTGGTGAGAGATCAGAGAATTTTGTAACGAAAGGAGAAATACTGAAAGTGCTTA